CCGCCCCCTCCAACCTCCAGCCTGCTTACCGGCCAGCTGCCAAAAGAAAAAAAAAAAAAGATAATGTAAATGGGGATAAAGAAAATATCCCTCATGTGTACTGAGATTAGTGGAATTCTTTAAAAAAGACAAATTTTAGTTTGTAATGACTAATATGAAGAACTCAAATTGTCAGCAGGTAAAACTAATTTGTGAGTGTAGGAAACATCTTCTGTAATATATTTTCAGTAATTATGAGAATGACCTTTTCCTAACAGGCATCTCTGCTGCCTGACCATCTCCCTGATCAGATTTCTTCTTTCTGACTTCTAACTTAACTTTCTTTGGACCTTTCTGTTTTTTTTCTTCTTTTTGGCAACTGGCCGGTAAGGGGATCTGAACCCTTGCTCTAACCAACTGAGCGAACCGGCCAGCCCCTATTATTCACATTTTAAAGATGGGGAAACTGAAGCGCAGAGAAGCTGGAAAACTTGCCTACGGCCATATAGCTACTGTCCCGCTTGGGCTCTATTCGGAATCCTGCAGACGTCGCCAATTGTAAAGCTACACGACTATGCCAGTTGGAGCGCTCTTAATCCTGTTCGTGAGGCCAATTGCGAGCTCTTTTACCTGCCACTAATCCTGCCCACTGGGCCAATGGGCCAATTGTCGAGCTAGGGCTGGGTCTGGAGCTCACAGGCCCCTCAAGCCCGTTCACAGACTGGGTCACAAACCCTTCACTTGCCAGGCTGGGTCCTCGGACTCCTAAGGCAGTAAACTCCAGCCAATGTGACTCCACCCACCCCCAACCTGCCCTGAGGCGAGGGGACTTGATTAAATTATTCTATTTTCCCAACAGCTACTAAACAGTGGATCTGGGGATTCAAACTCAGGTACTATGGCACAAGAGTCCACATGCTTAACTACTAAGCTTTTAGCTTCTCAACTGGATGCAGATAGTAGCTCATTCACTTCTCCACAAGCTAAATGCTGACCCTCTGGCATCTGAACCCATATTCTTTGCTTTCCCTCCTGTTACTATGGATGAAGTATCTATGCTCCGATCAAAGGTCAACCCTTTCACTTGGGCTTAGGGCCTCAGCCTTGTCAAGGGCTTTACTGCTGCTATTCTAGCCTTTCTTTAAGATGTCACCAGTTTTTCCCTTCCCTGGAAATCAGCAAAATAACATTCTTTAGTATTTTCAATGAAAAAAAAAAAAAAAGGCAAAACCCCTTCCCTGACCTCATCTTCACTTCCAGCTAATGCCCCACTACTCAATTCCCTTTTTAGTTCTTTTCCTCGATATCCGCATGGCAGACTCTTATTCTTCACATTTCACTTCCTGAGAGGCTTGCCCTGACGACCCAATATAAAGTAGCGACCCAATTGCTTCCTATTACATCAACTTATTAAATTCTCTGCACGGTGTTTATCTGTATTGTATGTTTTTCTTGTTTACCTGTGTAATGTTTGCTTTCATCACAGAATTTAAGCTCCTATAGAGCAAGGGACCTGTCTGGCTCATTCACTGTTGTATTCCCAGGACCTCGGAAGGGCCTGGATATAGTAGGTGGTCCATAAATACTTAAATTGCCCTTGTAGGCTGTAAGTGACCTGCCCTTACTTTTCTGACCTTGTCCCCCCAACTTCTTCCTCCCTTGCTCACTGCTCCACTCACACTGACCTCCTTGCTGTTTCTTCAGCATGCCAGACTCACTCCTAACATCTAGTCTTTGTACTTGCTATTCTTTCTCCTCGGAAGGTTCTTCTCTAGGCTCCCCCCTTCCCTTTCTTCCAGTCTTTGCTTAAAAGTAACCTTATTATTCAGGACTTCTTGGTTTGGGAATCTAAAATAGCAGCCCCAACTCTTTACCTCTTTCCTTGCTTAATTTTTCTCCATAGCACTTACCATTTTTTTTAATATACTATTGAATTTACTATTTATTTTATTGCCTGTTCCTGCCTCCCTCCCCCCACCCGTTATGAAGGCTCTGCTCTATCCCAAAGCCTAGAAGACTGCTTAGCACAAAATAGCAAATATTTATTAAATGAATGGATTCGTAGAGTGAATGAATAAGTATCAGACGTGAAATCTTTTGGAAGTGTAAGATATCATCATAGCCAGTAAAATTATTTATGTTAACAAATAATCTTAGATCACAGCTAGACAGAACAAATAAGTTCTAGGTGGTCTACAGTAGTGTTAGGCATCTATAGGTAACAACAATTTATTGTGTGTTCTCAATTGGCAACAAGAGAGGAACTGAAACGTTCTCATCACAAATAAATTTTAGCGATGACGAACATGATAATATCCTGATTTGATCACATATTGTAAACATGTATTGAAATGTAACTCTGTACCCCATAAATGTACTATCAATATGTGTCAATTAAAAAAAAAAACAATCTTAATAGCAGTATTCACGCTTGCATTCTCGCATCCCTGGCACAGAGTCCTACACACAAAAGGCACCCAAAGAAAGCGTGTTTGACGGTGATCTTTGGGGTGGGGTGGGGGTTAGGTGCGGGTGGGTGGGCGAGTCCACACAGAGGAGCCGCTGCAGGCCCCGCCCCGGCCCGTGTCGGCCCCGCCCCCCGCATGCTGAAAACAATATAGGCGAGTGACGTCAGGCCGTTTGTTGTTATTGGCGGCTCCCAAGATGGCGTCCATCATGGAAGGGCCGCTGAGCAAATGGACTAACGTGATGAAGGGCTGGCAGTACCGTTGGTTTGTGCTGGACTACAATGCAGGGTTGCTCTCCTACTACACGGTGAGTCCTCGGAGGGCTAGACTCCGAGCGGCCTGGGGGCCGCGCTCCCTGGGTGGAGGAGCCGGGTCGGGGTTTTGGGTAACCGGGCTGAGGTTGCTGGTCTGGGGGTGCCGCCGTACGAGAGGGTTCCCTTGTGAGGGAGGGTTTTAGGTCCTGGATAGCCAATGAGGGTGAAGGAGATGCGGGTTCAGCCAATAAGCAGGCCCTGGCTGCCTGAATTCTGGTTGGGGGCGAGCCGCGTTTCTTCTTTAGGGTCATGTGTTTAGCGTTGGTGGGGCCCGCCGCGGTTGTGAGTGGGTAAGGGTGGTCGTAGTCATGGTTTCAAGGTCGTGCGTGTCCATGCCGTCTCCCCACGTCGTCATGGACTTTATACTGTCCCCCCAGGCCCGTAGACGGCCGCACCCCTTAGCTTCTCTCCGGAGAACGAAGAGCTTTGCTTCTTGGGAGCAGTGGCTAGACGAGCCTGGGCAGGTCCAAAGGTGACTGGCCCTAGGGCAACAGCAAAGGATCCGAAATCCCTCCTGCTTGTCTAGGCTGAGAGTCTCATTCAAGGGACGCACTCTATTCTGCGGGAGGTGAGAGTAACCGACGCCTTAACTCCTGAGAGCCGAAGATTTCCTACACGCGAGTCCCTTGTTAGTGAAGAGAGTGAAGGGATAGTGCGGTGCCTCTGAAAGTTATATTTTGGGGAGGGCTGAGTTCAGGGCTTCACTGTCGTAACATGAATCAGTTGCCGTGGGCAAGTAGATGAATTGCTATGAATCTTACGTTGTATTTCCTCCAACCCCATCGCGTTAGAAATGGAAGGTGGGTGGTATTAGAGAAATTACTTTCAAAGGTACATTATAGTTAATAATAACCAATAAGAGGAAGGAAACCACATAAAAATAGAAAATAGGATTTCCTGAAGGCTTTAAAAATAATAGAAGACAGAAGGAAAAATATGATTTATGGAAGAAAGATTAGTGTTGATGAAAGAAATGTGGACGCAAATATTGATTCGTTCATGTAAAAACTATTACTGAGCTTTTGCTGTGTGTGTTTCGTGCCTGAAAGAATCAACAGTGATGAAGACATTCACTGTTCCTCTTCTCTGTAGCTCATTATATTCTAGTCTAGTGGGTTCCTTAATTCATTTTACTCTTAATGACTCTGCAAGGTAGGTATTCATTATCCCCGTTTAATATCCCCATTTTACAACTTTGGAATCTGAGGCTCCAGGCTTTTAAGTAATTTGCTCAGGATCACATAGCTAGCAGTAAGTGGTGCAATCAGGATGCCAAATTCTTAGCTTTCTGATTTTTTCTACTAAACTTCACTTTCACTACAAGGAAAAAAGTGTAAGCTATGAGTTACTAAAGACAAGCCCGCAAGAGTAAAAGTTTTATTTTCATCATACTCCAACTATGAACTTCCTTTCTCTACGTAATTTTTAAAGGGAAAAAGACCCAACCTTAATGAGTCTTAAACACATTGTTCAAGATTATCTTTAGGTCGGCATGAAAGAGAGGCTACTGAATGTTATATCCTGAAAATTCTGGAATTATGAAATCCCATGGCTCAGATAAATGAAGAGTAATATTGGGTTTCAGTAGATGTGATAATCAGAAAATCCCATGGAACCTATCCAACCTACTCGAGATACAGCCATTTCAATGAGTGGCACTATGGAATTAAGTTACTCTACAAATCCCAAATTTGTGTGGGTCTGAATTTAGGGCCATACTGCAGAAGCCCCAGGCTGGGTTATTTGGTAGCTCCTAGCCCAGACAAAATCTTCCTTTTTCCTGTTTTTCTTCCTTTAGTGCATCTTTTTTCTGTCTCCTTGCCTTTTTAGTTTTTGAATACTTGGACAAATATCTCCTTGTCTTACTGGCTAACTACAGGTTTTTAAAATATATTCCCTCTCCACCTACCCCCAACAGTTTTCCTCCCTTTTGAGATTTTATAAAATGTTATCCATGCCAGAAGAAGGGGTATCATATTTTTCACTAATGGGTGTTTAGAAGTTATTTTTTTTTCTTTTCTAGTTCATTGCTGTTAAAGTATTTGCTTGTAGTTAAACAGCAGAAAAATGTTGTACTATCTAATGAAAACAAAATGATATCCATTCCCAAAATAGAGGAAGTCCAGTAAGGATGAGAAACGGATAGGTATCCACTTAAAGGGAAAGTAGGAGACATACTGAATGTTGGCAATGAATTCTGTACCCATGGACATTGTTTCAGTACATTAAGATTCTGAAGAATTTGAGGGTACATATTAATATTTGCATGTGGCCTATAACTTAGAACTACAGCTTCCAGGAAAAATACCTGAATTGTTTGTTTAGCCTTTTAAGCAGGGCAGTAAATAGCAAGCCACTTTATTCCTTATTTCCAAAATCACTTGGGCTCTAGTTTGGCTCTGTTTTGGTAGGTCTATTCTCGGGTGGCCCTGAAAACCCAAACTAAACTAGATTGGCCTTGCTTTAGAGTCAGTCTGTACTGAGGATTGATATTGAGATAATCTCAGGATTGGGTTACGATTGCTGGGATTGCTGGGAACTGAATAGAGTCACTCAAGCCTCACCTCAGCCTGGATCTTCACCAAACTTGGCTTCTGCGGGTGGAATGGTCTTTTTACTTTATATTTCTCTTGTTTCTCTTCATAATCTGTGAATCTTTAGTGGTTATTTTATTTTATTTTTTTGGCAGCTGGCTAGTGTGGAGATCTGAACCTGTGACCTTGGTGTTGTCAGCACCATGCTGTACCACCTGAGTTAACCAGCTAGCTAAATCTTTAGTTTTTGAAAAAGTGTTTACTATATTTTTGTTCTGTCCAATACAGGAACAGAGACACTGATTATCTCCTTTAGGAAAGTAGATTTAGGCGGTCTTTTCAGCTTAAGCTCTGTCTCTTAATTATGAGAAACTTAATATGATATAGTTCATTCAGCAAGCATTTATTTAGGGCTGACTTTGTAATAGCCATTTACTGTAGATGCTGGGAGTGCAAATATGAAGGAGAAATAATTCCTGTGTGTAGGAATTCATAGTCTAGCAGAGCAGACACCTAAACATAATTTCAAAACAATATGACAAATTTTGCAATACAAATAAGAATAGAATGCTTTGGGAACATTGCCTGGAAGAGGCTGGAGAGACATTTGAGTTGAGACATAAAGAAAAAAGGTAGAAGAGAAGAAGAGCATTTCAGGCAATGGGAAAGGTACTGTGCACAAATTGGGAAGCTTGAGAACAAACATGCATTAAGAGGATATTGAGAATTTCTTAGCACTTCTAATGTAAAAGTGTATATGGGAGATAATAGAAGATTAAGTCCAGAAGGTATTTGGAGCCATAGGTCAGGCCTGGAGATGAGATCTGTTGGATTATAGCACAGAATCTGTTAGTTGAAATTTTATTATTAGATGAAATGTCCAAGGAAGGCTAAGGATATACATTTTGGAATACTGTATGAGCATCCAGCTGTTATGTGAATCATGACAACAAAGGAAGATGAAGAAAAGAAGGAAAATTGGGGGAGTATAGATATGTAAGGAGTTGGAAGGTTAGAAAGATAATGGAATTTGTGCCTTTTGTTAATTTATCAAATATTTATTGAATACGTACTGTGTGCCAGGCACTTTCCTAGGAAGTGGGGTTAAAATGGCAAATAAGATGGAAATCATCCATGATGTCATGATACCCAGAGTCTGCTGGGGGAATATAGCAAGTAAAAGCAATGATAGTTACAGCACTGGGTGATTGGAGGGGGTACATAGGTGGGCTACTTGACTCAGTCTGGAGGGTTAGGAAGGTTTCTTGGAAGAAGCAGGTTTGCAGTGATCTGAATGATGAGTGGAGATTAGCCATGTGAGCAGAGAGGAAGAAGTGCTTGAGATAAAGGGAATATACTTGTTTTTGGAGGAGACAAGAGTAAGGAGCTTGTCAGTCCTGAAGCTTGGGCTCTGAGGTAAATAGTGAGAGATGAGCTGGAGAGCTAAGCAGGGGGACAGATTCTGAAAGGCTTTCTTGGCAAATGATGCTAAGGAATTTGAACTTTCAGTGTTCTTTTTTTTTTGATGGCTGGCCAGTACAGGGATTGAACTCTGGACATTGATGTTATCAGCACCATGCTCTAACCAACTGAGCTAACCAGCCAGCCCCCATTTCAGTGTTATGAATAATTTTTCTTATTGAAAAAAACACTTATTAAAAATTTCAAACATACATTAAAGAAGATAGTAAAATGAATTCCTATTTCTCAGCTTGTACAATTATCAACATATGACTAAACTTGTTTTATTATTCCCATCATGATTCCTGTACTGGCCAGCTGCCAATAAATAAATAAATAAATAAATAAATAAATACCAATAAATAAATAAATAAATATATAAAATAAACGAATAGTCCCATCAACTCCTTCCTCCTCCATTGGATTATTTTATTTTATTTTGTTTTGTTTATTTTTTGGCAGCTGGCCAGTACAACATCAAACCCTTAACCTTAGTGTTGTCAGCACCATGCTCTAACCAACTGAGCTAACTGGCCAGCCTTGGATTATTATTTTTTATTTTTTATTTTTTATTTTTATTTTTTGTCTTTTTTCCGTGTCCGGCAACGGATCGCAACCCTCAGTGTTGCCCCCGTACCGGACCGGGGACCGGCAACGGGATTGCAACCCTCGGTGTTGCTCCCGCGCCCCGCTCAGCCAGTGAGCGGGAACCGGTCCGTATGTGGGATCCGAATCCTCGGACGGGAGCGCCGCCGCGCTTCCCAAGCGGCGCACTATGCAGTGCGCCACCGGGCCGGCCCCAGCCTTGGATTATTTTAAAGCAGATCCCAGATACCATATTATTTCATTTGTAAATATTTCAGTATGTATCACTAAAAGTTAAAGTCTCTCTCTTTTAAAAAATGTTATCTGGGCCGGCCCGGTGGTGCACTGGAGAGTGCGCTGCTTGGGAGTGCGGCAGCGCTCCTGCCGAGGGTTCGGATCCCATGTGGAGACCA